ACAGTTTGTCGGCAGCAGGGCTAGTTAGGAGAGTATGGTCCACGAGGAAAGGACTCAGCCGGAACCAGCTTCTAGAGTGGCTCTCAAGCCAGGAGTGACAGCAGTATATTTAGGGACACTGTGAAAAGGCATATGAAGGAGGGGTCTTGGCAGATTAGTTTGGACTTTGGAAAACTGAGGTGGGGGTACTAGAAGATGGCAGGTTGAGGGGACTTTGGAAGAGAAACCAGAGCTAATTCAGTCTTGTTTCTGAAATAAGGAGTTTTTGTACAAAATATCACATTTATCCTTTGTGCAAAGAAATGTTCAAGAACTCCATGCATTTTTTTTAAAAATTTTGTTTTGCTTGAACCCAGCACTTTGCACAAGCAATGCAAATACTCAGCCTCTCTGGGCACTTGTTTTGTTTTGTACTTGCTTTTATTTTTCCCCCAAGATTTTTTTTATCTTTGTGGTTTAGAGGCTGAACACAGGGCCTCACATATACTGGGTGCTCTCCAACTCAGCTGTCACCCCAGCCCCAGCCCTGGCCCCAGGCATGTATTAATTCATTAATTAATCAACCAATTTATTTTAAGACAGGGTTTCTCTACCTATCTCTGGCTGGCTGTCCTGGAACTCACTATATAGACCAGACTGGCTTTTGAACTTACAGAGATCTGTCTGTCTCTGTTTCTGAAGTCCTGGGATCAAAGGTGTGAGTCACCGTGCACGGCCTTCACGCATGTGCTTTTAATCAAGTTGTCCACTACAAGGCTTCTAGGTAGTGTGTTTGTGCATGTCTGATTATATGACTTCCCAGACGTTCAGGAGCACGCCTACCAAATAATCACCGTTATAGTGTTATTTTGATTTGATGACTTATAGAGTACATCACGGAAAGAGGATGCTTTAGAAATTTCTCCATAGCCATTGAAGTATCTCAAAGTTACATTTGACTGTTTGATCTAAAATGGTCATTAAAATGGCATCAAAGCAGCCTTTATTGTGTAACATAGCTGGAAACTGCGCCTACATGTAGCTCAATTGGAATCTCGTGACCACATGGTCAGCACTTCAGTGCTTTTATAGTCTATTTATTGATTTAATTATTTTTAAGTCTGTGTTTTAGGCATTATTATCTGTATATGAGTGTTTCACCTATCTATTTGTACTGAAAAGTCTCTGTACCCCATCAGCCTCGCCGCCAACGCAGCAATCCAAATGCAATCCAAATCAGACCAAATCAAACCGAATTAGAAAAAGACCAGATTTAAAAAAAAAAAAGAAAAAGACCAGATTTAATGGACAAAACGTTTCTGGGTGATTTTCTACACCCCTCCCCCCCAGAGGAGACAGGGAAGAGAGATCCAAAAACCCACATGTCTGTTTTCTAGGGGGCAGTTTAAATACCCTGTGAGAGTGGTCTTGAGCATTTCTGGGGAAGGAATCATCGTTTGATAGGCTTTCTGAGAGAGATGGGACATGGAGGTTGAGGTGGAGCGTCCACCAAAGCATTCCAGACTCTTTGTGTATATGGATGTTAGGGACTAAGGAGGACCGTCCACCAGAACATGTACACGCATCAGAAGGTGTTGATCCCCTGGAATGGATGGTTGGGAGTTGGGAACTAAACTCAGGTCCTCTGGAAGAGCAACAAGTGCTTTTAACCACTGAACTATCTCTCCAGTCCTCTGTATATTCAATTTAATCCACGTATTTAACGAACATCTTTGATGGATTAGGCTAACTGGAGAAAATTGAGGAGAGCGAGAAGGAATTAATATGTAGCTGAAAGTGAGACTTTTAAAGAGGAAATGCTTGAATTTATGAATGGTCACTTCAGGACATTTTTGTCAGCAAATAACAAATTTGATATTGCAGAGGAAAAATCCCACTATAAACCAGGTTTTGTGGCTCATGCCTCTAATCCCAGCACTTGGGAAGACAAGGCAAAGGCCTTTCACAAGTTTGAGGCTACAGAGTTAGTTCTAGGACAGCCTGGGTTATAATGTGAGACTTTGTCTCCCAAAAACAAATAAAACAACAACAACAGCAAAACAAAGCCAGATGCGGTGGCACATAGCTGTACCAGAAATCATGGATATTTATTTGCCTTTAGGTTATAATCCACATATATATCTTGATTTGGTTAGCTTCTGAGCATGCCCGTGAGGGAATCATCTTAATTAGATTAACTGGGGTGGGAAGATCCCCTCCTCTCCAAAACAGTACGGCAGCACCATTCCCTGGATCTGGGTCCCGCATTGCATTAAAAGGACAGAGTTATCTGAGGATAACCTTGATGGAGTAATCTTTGCTTCCTAACTGTGGCTGCAGCTTGGCCAGTCTCAAAGTCCTTCCTCTAGGACTTCATTGTTATAATCAACTGTCTACCTATATGAACATAACTTTTAGTCTGTTTAATCAATCTTCCATTGGTCTATCTATCTATCTATCTATCTATCTATCTATCTATCTATCTACCTATCATCTATCTAATTTACTTATTTTGAGATAAGGTCTGGCTATTAATCCAGGTTGGTCTTGAACCTGTGATCTTCCTGCCCGAGTTCCTCAAGTGCTGGAATTATAGGTGTGTGCCACTACACCTACCAGAAGTACATTTTGCTCCCAATTTCCTTATTTTCAAGAATCCTGCTGTGACCTCCTGCACACTCTCGGTGTGAACTGGTGTGCCTATTCCTCAGTTTACCTTTTCTTTGATATGGGGTCTTACATAGCCCAGGGTAGTCTCAAGCTTGCAAAGCAGTTCTAGATGACCTTTAAGTACTGATCTTCCTGCTTCCACCCCCAAGTGCTGGGGTTCAGAGTGTGCAATACCATACCTGGCTCTTACTTTACTATGTATGCTAGTCAGCTTTCTATTATAATAGCAAATACCCAAGATAATCAAGTTTAAAAAGGAGAAAGGTTTACTTGGCTCACAGTTTAATAAACGTCTATCCATGGCTGGATGGTCGCAGGGCTTTTACGTCTGTGGCAAGGCAGTGCATTATGGTGAGTGCGTGTGGCAGAGGACCGCCACTCTCCTTAGGGCCCTGAATGAACTAGAGGAGGGAAGAGACCAGACCCTCACAGCGTCTCAGAGGGCAAGTCTCCAGTTACCTAAGATCTCCCACTAATCCTGTTCTAGCTTGCTTTCTCTTAGATGCTAGACTCTGTGACTCAGGACAGGAACTTAGAGGCAGGAACTGAAGCAAAGGCCTTGGAGGGGCGCTGCTCCCTGGCTTGCTTCTGATGGCTGGCTCAGCCTGCTTTCTTACATCATCCTGGATCCCCTGTTCAGGGGTGCCCCCACCACAGAGGCCAGGGTCCTCCTGCATCAATTGAAAAGAAAATGCTCCACAGACCTGCCCACAGGCTAATAGGATAGAAGCATTTTCTCTATTGAAATTCCCTTTCCCAGATGACCCTGGTTTGTGACAAGCTGACCGAAAAACCGGCACAAGGCTCCTCCTTTTAACATTACCACCAGTTCCCAACAGCATCACTAATTCTTAGCCTGAGGCTCACATGCGGTGATTTGAATAAGAAAGGCACTTGCAGGCTCACTGAATCCTTGGTCTAGGGAGGATGCTGTTTGAGCGAATTAGAAGGATCAGGAGGTGTGGCCTTTTTGGAGGAAGTGTGCCACTGGATGAGCTTGAGGTGTCAAAAGCCCAGGCCACGCCCTGTCTCTCTTTCTGGACCTGCTGATCAGGCTACAGCTCTCAGCTACTGTTCCAGAGCCACGCCCTATGCTCCCTCTCAGGATGATAGTGAACTAAGCCTCTGAAATTGTATACAGCTTTTGTAAGAGTTGCCTTGGTCACGGTGTCTCCTCAGAGCAATGGAACAGTGACTGAGACACGGAAGATGGGTTTTAAAGGGATGTTCCAGATGAGAGCCAGTGCACCTTTTGACTCGGTTTCTAAAGCACTCCACATGTGGACTATAGTCCCAGATTCCTGACCAACGCCTTGCCCACTAGAATCACATGGCTAACGCAGAACTCAGCTCAAACTCATTTTCGGCAGACATTCTTTGGTGTTTTGGACCTTATTCCATGTGTGATGCCCTGCATTTTTTATATCTGTCTATATTTGTATTTTAAAACAATCTTATTTTACATACTAATCCCAGTTCCCCCTGTCTTCTGTTCTCCTGTCCCCCTCCCTCCACCTGCCTTCTCCCCACCCCACCCCCTGCACCCCACTTTGTATTTCCAGTCTGTGCTTACTTACTGGTTTAGGACAGAGAGAAGCACACATGTGATTGTCACAGTATATCTCACCACACAGATAGGCACCTAAGTAACTAGCATATTTTGATTTTGTTTGGAGTGAGGAATATAAATATCAGAGCAATTAAGAAGCTATATTAGCATGCCGTGTTTCAGGGGGTCAGAGGAGTTAAGTGCCGCTTCTACTTCTTCTTTGTGTGTGTGTGTGTGACAGCTTGTGTAGTTGAAAAGTATTGCTTTCTAGCTGCCTGTCAAAAATGTTTGTTAGCTGAGAAATTTGGAATCACAGTCTGTCTTCCAAAGTGAGCATCTTCAGTGTGCCAAGTATTCAAACAAACTGCCTTTTCAGGGAAGAGAGCAGAACTTAAGTAATTAAACAAGGCCTCTGATTCTCGAATTGCCTTTTAAGTAGGTGTGCGGTATAAGGAATCTTCTGTATTATAATTAGCACAGAAAGGACAACAGTCTAATGAGTGTCAATTATGACTCTGTTCTAGAGACTCTAAAGGCCCAGGGCGGCTGATCGATGACCCTCGGAGAGGCTGCCCAGAACTTGTAAGGTTAATAATACCCAGAGGAGGTGACAGACACAGGGTAGCTAATCTGGCCGCCACAAGCGCGCTCAGAGCGCGCGCGTGCGCGCACTCATCGAACTTGGCGGGGCCACGGGGCGGAGCCCCTGCTCTCCGAGGTCCAATCATCTGTGGGCTCAGGGGGTATGGCCCTCCACTGGCCACGCCCCTAGTCAGCGCGGGAGGGGCGCTTTTAAGAAGCGGCCGCGCCACTCTGTCAGGTGTGTGGGGCCGCGGTGTGTCAAGTCCTCCGGCCGCCCTGTACCCGCTCGCTCCCGCTCGCCCGCCTGCGGCTCCAGCGCCCTCACCTCGGCCTCCCTCGTCCGCCCGCCCGGCTCTCGCAGCCTCCGCGAGCCACCCCGGACCTTGTGCCCTCGAGCTCTCCCGGCGCCCGCCCGACGGGGCTGCCTCCGGCCATGGTACCGGCCCAGGAGGAGCCCGTGGCCGCCGCCACACAGGGGACAAGCGAGGCACAGCCACCGGGGCCCGCGCCCTCGGAGGACGCTCCGCTGCCCGGCCAGGGACCCTCGGACGGCCCCGACGTGTCTTCAGAGAAGGTGGAGGTGGAGCTGACGAGGTCAACGGGCGACGAGCCCCCCGTTCCCCCCGAGGGAGGCTGGGGCTGGCTGGTGATGCTGGCGGCCATGTGGTGCAACGGGTCGGTGTTCGGCATCCAGAACGCCTATGGGGTGCTCTTCGTGTCCATGCAGGACACCTTCGGGGGCAAGGACAGTGACAACATGGCCTTCAAGACAGGTGGGGCGTTGCGACGGGCGGAGGCGGGGGGCACGGCGGGGGGTGGCAACACATTCCGCGGGAGCTTGGTGCGTCCTCTGGTGCTGGGAGGGAGAGAGCCGTGAGTCTGACCCGTCGCACTTGCAGCCTGCAGCCTGCAGCTTGGGGCTTCCGTGTGCCGGTCTTTGTATGGAATCCGCAAGGACCGTGCGCTTGGAAGCAAGTTGCAGAGTTGTACCAGCCCTAGGCTTCTTTCGGCAGACAGGGCGCCAAGAATTCACAGTACTTTCCTCTAAGTGTTGGAAAGCAAACGAACGTTCCAGCACCAACAACATTGGTTTTTACAGTCGTTTTTTGTGACCGCCACGCTGGAGAGATTGTTCGCTTGTGCTGCAGAAGGATGTGTGTGTGTGTTCGGGTGGGTGCGGCGCGGCCAGGAGCGGGAGATTGGCAAGATGGAAAAGTGGATCCCAAGGTCACAGGGAGCCCCAAAAGGCAGCTCATCAAAAGTCTCAGTCTGAGTTCTAAATATAGAAAGCATAGGAGAGAGCCACGTGAGAGGAGAAGGGGTTGCGTCTCCTGATGTGTGTGTGTGTGTGTGTGTGTGTGTGTGTGTTTACCTTGTGGAAATAAAATGCAAAAGGTGCAGACTCGGCATTCTCGTCAAGTGCTTTTGCCCGACTTCTTGACTGATTATGCAATACCCAAGTCTAGTATCTGATGCATAAGATTTTTTCACTATTTTATCTCCTGCTGCTCGGCAGGTGCTGTCAGCTCGGTGAAATGAAGTGTCTTGGTGTGGAGCAGAATAAAGATAGACCCCATCACCCGACTTCAAGACTGAACGATTCTCATTGCTAAGTCAGGCTACCACTGTCTTTTGGGACACTTCATAAGATCAATAATTTCTGTGTTTCTCTCTGCCCAGCCTGGCCTTGAACTCGAGATCCTTTTGCCTCTGGTGGGATTACAAGAACATTCTGAAACACACCGGGCAATAACAACAACAGTATCTCACTATGTAGTCCTGGCTGGCCTAGAACTTAATACATAGACTGTTCTCAAACTCACAGAAATCCACTTGCCTCTGCATCCCAAGAGATGGGATTACAGAGATGTACTACCACAGCCTCACACAATAGTTTTTTTTTTTAAATTAACCTTTAGTTTCTGCTTTCAGAGTGCATATTGCTTAGATTTTTGGTGTGCACATACAGAAAATAAATGGATGGTAATTACAAGTTGTAAGGAAAGATGGTGTGGAAGATTTTAAAATTACTTTTTCTTTCTTCAGTGGTAGGTGGGACCCAGGGCTCTGGGCACACTACTCAAGGGCTGTCCACTTCTCTAAATTTAACATGATTTTCATTCCGTGAATATATTGTACTTGATGCACTCGCCCCTTAATAGACATTTAGATTGCTTTCCAAACTTAAAAAATACTTTTAAGAGCAGATGCACTGAGTATTATTGTACACTCTTTCCATGTGAATAATGATGTATCATATTTAATGGGGAATTTCTCTTCCTTAAGGGGCTGTGGAAGTTGCTGTGTTTGGCAGGTCAAAGAGTTAGTTACAGTATGTTAAAATGTTCTTAGTTTAACTGAATGGAGGTAGGCAGCCCTTGTACATACAACAGGATAGATATGAAGATGCAATAGCAAACAAAAATTATTTTTCATAGTTTTGATACATCTGTGTCTAAGGACTTCATGTATCCTATTTCTTTTATCTTTTGACAACTCCATGAGTTGGGCTTCCTTTTCAGACATGGAAATTCGGGCTCACAAGGATTTCACCTGGGAGCAAGATTTCAGCCTTAGATTTGTCTGACTCCAGGACCCAGGTTTTAACTGCACTGGCTAGATAACATTCTGAAAATTTAATATTTCCATGTTCACACAGTGCTTCTGGGTTAAGCATCTGAAAGACTAGGCATTTATCTCAGCTGGTGGAGTAGTACCTGCATGGCATATTTGCATAAAGTCAGGCCTGGTGGCTTATGCCGGCCTGCAGTCCCAGAACTCTGAAGGACAGGCAGGAGGAGCAGGAGTTCCAGACCATATGACCTTCAGCTTCGAAGCAAGTTTGAGGCTTCCATGGTCTACAAGAGACCCTTCTTTAAAAAAAAACAAAACAAAAAAGATTCTTGTTTTTTTTTTTTTCAACTAGTAAGCAATGGCCATTGTTTATGTCTTGCCAAATAATTTTTGAATTGTAGAGAGTTACGTAGTAAAACCTACTTTTAAAACGGCATTCATGCAAAATCTTGGTTAGACTGAACCGTACTTAGCAGGGAAGCTCTTCCTGGCAGTGCCAAGAGGAGATTGCCTTGGGGCCTTCTCCTTAAGAGTATCTTGTTTTGTTTTTGTCTTTTGAGAAAGGATCTCACTGTGTAACTCTGGGTGGCCTCTACCTCTGCCTTCAGAATGCCTCTCCTCTTTGAATTCTTTTTTTTTTTCAGGGGGTATATGTGTTGTTTTTTGTTTATGCTTTTTTTTGAGACGGTTTGTGTGTGTGTGTGTGTGTGTGTGTGTGTGTGTGTAGCCCTGGCTGTCCTGGAGTTTGCGATGTCGACTAGGCTGGCTGCAAACTCAATTCAGCCCTTGCCTCTGCCGGCTGAGTACTGGGATTAAAGGTGTGTGTCCCCATGCCTGGCTCTTAATCTTAAATAATGTATGATCTAGCCAAACTTCACACGAAAGGGCCTGTCCTCCACTCTCTCTCTTTTGAGACTAGATCTCATTATGTAGTCTTGGCTGGCCTAAAATCACTGTGTCCCCCTTCTGTTGCTGGGATTAAAGGTGTGTACCAGCATGCTCCCCTCCACGCCCCCCCCTTTTTTGTACTGTTGTAAAACTTGTTGTTTTGAGCCAGTGACACAAGAAGAAACAATGGCCGTTATTCTCAGAGTGTAGGCTCTGTTGAGATACAAATGAGCACACCAGGGAAAGCATTAGAATTCTCCCTGTAAAGATCCTCCATCCTGTTCTGGAAGTCTGAAACTCCATACATATGAAAGGACACAGTGGGAACTGGGAAGGACAACTGATAGCCTTTCTCTCTGGTGATTAGAGTCTCTGAAAGTGAGGCACTGGTTGGGGATGCTAGCTGAACTCCAAGTTGGGCAGTAAAATCAATACAGCATACAGCAGGCCAGCTCCTGCAGTGGTGCCCAGGTACTGATGACAAGACAGCGTGGCACACACCCTGACGTGTCGGAAGTGATGCTGATAGGACTGACAGAGCCCGAGTTGTCTTTTCCATGACGGTTTTACCTGTCACTGTCTCATGGGTGGGATCAGACACTCTGGAAAAGAAAGTGGGTACCACAATTAACTGGAGCATTGTTTTCCGTTAGAATCTGCACCGTCGTTTTAGCTGCTGGATCCTGGAAAGCCATGGAACTGATAAGTCTAGCGCTCTGTCTTCTCATGAGTGTCACGGACACTCTTTGGGATCAAGCAGGGTATTAATCTTATCTGCTGCTTTCTTCCTGGGGGAAGAAAATTTTTTAATGGTGTGTCTGGTTGCTTTTTAAAACTATCTATTAAAAACAAGTATGTTTTTAGAATTTGTTTTTAGGTTAGGATTAATGTTAACCTTTTGAAGAAGTTGCTGTTTTTGAACCAAAGGCTTGGCTTTTAATAATTCTCCCAATAAATTATTTTTTAAATATTTATTTATTTATTTATTTATTTATTTATTTATTTATTATGTATAGAATGTTCTGTCTGTGTGTATGTCTGCAGGCCAGAAGAGGGCACCAGACTCCATTACAGATGGTTGTGAGCCACCATGTGGTTGCTGGGAGTTGAACTCAGGACCTTTGGAAGAGCAGGCAATGCTCTTAACCTCTGAGCCATCTCTCCAGCCCTATTTTTTTTTTTAAAAGAATTTTTGTGAATGTGTGTGTGCATGTACATGTTTGTGTGCGTGTTCCTGCCATGGTGTGTCTGTGGAGGTTGGAGGGTGTGTGTGTGTACACATATGTGTTTGCAAGTGTGCATTCATGCTATGGTGTGTCTGTTGTGGTTGGAGGATGTATGTGTGTGTGCATACATGTGTGAGTGTGCATTCATGCCAAGGTGTGTTTGTGGAGGCTGGAGGACAACTTTGGGTGTTGGTTCTCACCATCCACTTTTCCATGGGTTCCTGTGATCTGAGCTCAGGTTATCAGGCTTGAGCAGGAAGTGCTTTTACCCAGAAGCCATTTCTCCAGCCTCCCAAACATGCTCTTTAATGGTCTTTCTTGAAAGTAGAGGTCTGTGTTTAAGATTGGGAAACACCACACAATGTCCTTCTCTCTAGGGTTTTTAAAATGCAAGTCAACATTAAGTTATTTAAAAAGAGCTGTCAAAAAGATGTGGAAAGAGAGGCTTTGTCCACAACCTTTAATGTTACACCACCTTCCCCTATGGTAAAGGTATATTCTCTGGACAGTCACCCCACTGAGTAGGAACTGGGGAGCACTCAGACGTGAAGGCATATTGTGTCACCTCGTCACCCTCATCAGCCTCTGAATCTTCAAGCTGTTAGTGCCAAACCCCAAGTTTTCACATTTACCCTTACACTGATATCCATTGTAGACTCTATACTTTCCCTTTCTGACTTCGTTGAGTTGAACTGGCAGTTCACCGATTAGCCAGAGAAAGGCACATTTATTTGGTTATAGTTTCACGTGATGTAGAAACCTTCACATTGCCTTCCAAAGTTAACTGTCCCATTTTAATTCTTAGGCTTGATGAAGCTTGGTCAACTGTGTACAAATACCAGTGAACAGGAAGGGTCTGGTCAATCTAAGGGTTGCAGACGACAGGGAAACCTACAAGGCTTGACTGGCTAGATGGTTCTCCAGTCTTCAGTTGTAGTGTTAGGGATCAAACGTGAGAGGTCCAAGAATTTCTCTACAGAGAGCTCTTACACAGAACCTGTGGAGTATGTAGTGGAGGGTTGTTAGAGGATTATTTTTTTAGCTTTTGTGGCTGGCTTTGAGGAAAAGGGCTTTAATTGTTATTA